AGACCCTTCATCAGAAATCATCAGATTTTCTGATGAAGGGTCTAGGCCCGAAACGTCAGCCTTTCTGCTCCTATGATGCTGCTTGGCCCGCCAAATTCATACTTTATTTCTGTCTTCACAAAGGAGGACATGAATAACGCACCAGAAAGGATGGGGAATGCAGGGTTTAGTGAGGAGGAGGATCAAGTAAATCTGTTTTAATAGAGAAATCGTATTGGGGAAATTGATGGGATTGAAGGCTGATAAATCCCCAAGGCCTGATAAATCCAAATCCCAGAGTACTGAAGGAAATGGCCTTCAAAACAATGGATGCATTGGTGGTCATCTTCCAAGATTCTTTAGACTCTGGAACAGCTCCTACAGGTTGAAGGACAGTTACTGTAACCCCACTATTTAAAAAGGGAGGTAGAGAGAAAACAGGGAATTATAGACCAGTGAGTCTGATGTTGGTAGTGGGGAAGATGCCACAGTCCATTATCAAGGATTTTATAGCAGAGCATGTATAAAATAGCAGTACAATCAGACACAAACGGCATGAATTTACAAAAGGGAAATCATGTTGACGGATCTAGTTTTTTTGAGGACGTAACTAGTAGAGTTAATCAGGGGAGTCAGGGGAGATGCTTTATTTAGACTTTCAGACGGCTTTCGACAAAGTCCCATCTGAGAGATTAAAGTGTAAAATTAAAGAACATGGGATTGGGGGTAGTATATTGAGATGGATAGAAAATTGGTTAGCAGGCAGGAAACAAAGAGTGGGAATAAATGGGTCTTTTTTCTGAATGACAGGCAGTGACCAGTGGAGTACTGCAGGGACTGGTGCTAGGAACCCTAGCTATTGACAATATATGTTAATAATTTAGGATGAGGGAACTAAACCTAATATCTCAAAATGTGCAGATGACACAAAGCTGGGAGGAAGGATGAATGTGAGGAGGCTGCTGCGATGTTGCAGTGTGATTTGGACAGGTTGAGTGAGTGCACAAATGCATGGCAGATGTAGTATAATGTGGATAAATGTTACACATTTTTGGTAGCAAAAATAGGAAGGCAAGTTATTTGAATTGCTGTAAATTCAGAGGGAAATACTCAATTAGATCTGGGTGTTCTCATGCACCAATCACCGAAAGCAAATGCAGCAGGCAGTAAAGAAGGCAAAACGTATGCTGGCCTTCACAGCGAGAGGTTTCGAGTACAGAAACAGGGATGTCTTGCTGGTGTACAGGACATTGATGAGGCCACACCTGGAATACTGTGTGAAGTGTTGGTCTCCTTATCTGAGGAAGGTTGTCCTTGCTGGAAAGGGAGTGCAGCAAAGGTTTACCAAATTGGTTCCTGCGATGACAGGACTGACATTGGGGAGAGATTGAGTTCGTTAGGAGTGTATTCACTGGAGTTTAAAGGATTGAGGGGGGAATCTCAGAAATCTATAAAATTCTGCCAGACTAAACAGGTTAGATGCAGGAAGGATGTTTCCAAAGGTGGGGCAGTCGAGAACCAGGGGTAAAAGTTTAAGGGTAAGGGGTAAACCTTGAGATCGAGATGAGGAGAACCTTCGTCATCCAGACAGCAGTGAGTGGACAAAATATTTTGTGTTTTCAAGGGATAGATGTAGCTCTTGTGTCTAAATGGCTCAAGGGATATGGGGGAGGACAGGATTAGGGTATTGAGCGCAGGGATCAGCCACGATCAGAATGCATGGCAGAACAGACTCAAGGAATCAAATGGCCTTCTCCTGCTTCTATTTTTTTGTTTCTATGTAGAGCAGGGCAGCGGAGGCTCTCTGTTTAATGACAGCTTGAGCAGGGATAAAGAAACTGGCTGCCGGAAACAAAGTGATGCAGAGAGCACAGCTGCTAAACAACGTCAAAATCCTCCCAAAATATAAAAGCACTGAGATCTAAGGACTAAACTGCCACTGCCTCCATTGAAAATGAGATAAGCTGCTGAAGCTTTGACTCCTCGGAGCTGACTCCCTCCCCTATTCAGTTTACCTGTGCTTCCAATTTTGTTTTTGCATCAACACGGTCGCTCTCACACAGGCGTTCCAGCTCCTCGGCATGTTTGACAGCTTTCCGGAGCCGAGAGAACAGGTGGAAGCGCTTACGTGGTTCAGTATTCGCCTCCTGTTTTAACTGCATGGCATAACTCCAGGCTCGCTCAGCGTCCATTAGAACCAGCAGCAAATATCTAAACACAGGAGAGGCTGGATTAGATAGGGTACTGCACATCCATCAGTAGATTCAACATTGTCAACATCCACAACGTTAAACATTACTCTAACCATAGTCACTCACACAGCTCTTAAAACACCTGCCACAATGTATAGTTTAAGCAGTAATCTGGGGCTGGGCGATCCATGGAAACTCCCTCTGCCCCATCTTCAGCAGCCATTCCAGCTCTAATATCTGGTTATGCCTCCTTCTATATTGCAACAAATCTATGAAACATCTCCAGCTCTATCCCTCAGTTAAGGTTCTCCTTAAAACCTCTCTTCTTAACTACCCATGCTATCTTCTTTGGACTGGTGTATATTTTTGACCAACAGCACTTTAGGGAAGTGTTTTGGATGCTTTTCAGTTTTGTGGGCAACAAGTCACAGGTATTGGAATAAAAGCAATTGGCAAGCAAATGGCTCACCAGAAGGTCTGCATGGTTATTAGCCAAGATACAGATTGTTGCAGTCCTTCAATCAGAGGTACATCCATCGTCAGCCTCGATAGACTGATGAAATATATTACCACCAATACATCAAGTGTGTATCCAAGGTTTCTATCCTCATTGCGCACACAGCATGGAGCCACAAGAACAACAAATCATACATTTATGAATTAAAACATTTATTAATTTGCAGGTAGTTCGAGGCACATCAGCAACAGATTGTTTAATCAAACTCAAATCACAATGAGGCAACAGCACTGAAGCAGTTACTTCAAAATCACCCAGGCTGTGGTAATTTGAACGGGGAACAAACAAGTAGCAAGTATAACATCAATAAGATTGCATTTCCTGGATTTGGAGAGTCAGATCTCCAGGGACAGGTTGTCTGAGGGGCTACGGTTGAACACCTACTGCCCCAATGTTGTTTTACTCCAAGATAACAAGGTGTAGAGCTGGATGAACACAGCAGGCCAAGCAGCATCAGGGGAGCAGGAAGGCTGACGTTTCGGGCCTAGACCCTTCTTCAGAAAATGAAGGGTCTAG